AACTACGAGACCTGTTCGCTGTTGCCTTGACCGAGGTTTGCTACAGTGTGTCTGTGGAGCCACCTCTCGCCCCTGTCGAGGGTGAGGTTTTTCAGGCCAGGTCGGCGAACACCTCTGTCGAGGCTCGCCTTGATGTGAGCGCTCGAGGCTTCTGGACGCGTGGGCAAGATGCATTTTTTGATGTAAGGGTGTTTAATCCTGACGCTTCTTCCTATGCGTCCAGAAGCCTGGACGCGCTCTTCCGGCAACATGAGGGCGCTAATAATAATAATAATTCGCGGGATTCGCGTTGGCATCGCTTGAATGTTCAGAAACACACAAACTAGCCTTCGCTTCCGCAGGCCACCACTATGCCTATGCCTTGCACACCTTAGTGGCGAATGCAGACCTCACAAGTGAGTCAGGGGAGAGTAGGTGAGTCTCTCAACCAATCGGGCGTGTAACGGCCCATAACCCTGTAAACTGCATCCTTGTTACCCTCACTCCGAGCTGTGAGTACCCAGTTGACCGTGGGTGTCGGCGCAGTTCACCACACATAAAAAGTCTTTACTCACGTAAAAAGTCTTTACACGCTCCCTGCTACCAGCGCGGGTCTCGAACTCGGGACCTCATGATTCGCAGGCAAGCCTGCAAACCAATCGGCCATATGCGTTGGCGCTAAGAGACGTCAATATCAGGAGAGAGTAGTCAATGTTGAGCGTGGTGCCTTTGCACCTCTGGTGTTTTCCGTGAATGGGGCTGCTGCGCCGGCATCCACGGCCTTCCTCAGGCGCCTTTGCCTCCTTACATCTCAATCTTCGGGAGGTAGCTATTCGTCGTTGATGGGTTATTATCGTTGTCGGGTGTCTTTCGCGCTGCTACGTTCCGCTGTGTTGTGTGTCAGGGGTGCTCGGTCGGCCCGTCACCGTCCAATTCACATGGTTCGTGAGTTGGCGATGGTGGAGGGTCGGTTTCCCCTGCCATGATTTGTGCTGCACCGAGCTCGTTTGGTGTGAAAGTGTTACTATTGTTATTATTCTTATATCTATACATCTAGTATTACAAAAATATTTGAGAGGCTTTGAATCGTTTTTATCAAAATCAAAATATTTGCCGGGTTGGAAGGTGGGATAAAAAACAAATTTAAAAATTTAAATCATCATCATCATCAACGCACTGCGGGAGTTGGCGGTGGCGGAGGGCCGCCTGTGAGTGGCTGAGAGACAATGACAGTTTACATCACATTCAGAGGTCTGGATTTTGTATTGTTCTTGTCTGAAGTTAGTTGTACTATGATTGGATTCGTTCCATGTTGGTTTTGGGCAATCCGCCTGGTTTTCTTCCGTAGTGCTGATTGTAGAGGTTGGCTTATTGAAGTTCTTTTTCCTTCTTTTTCTTTCTTTTTCTTTTAAGGGGGTTCGCGACGGTTAGCGCCATGTTGGATTGTGTTTTGGATTGTGTTTTGTTGCCCGTAAAAGAGGCTTTTGGATCATCAAAATCATCATCATCATCCTCATCATCATCATAATCATCATACATCTCAATCTTCGGGAGGTAGCTATTCGTCGTTGATGGGTTATTATCGTTGTCGGGTGTCTTTCGCGCTGCTACGTTCCGCTGTTTTGTGTGTCAGGGGTGCTCGGTCGGCCCGTCACCGTCCAGTTCACATGCTTCGTGAGTTGGCGATGGTGGAGGGTCGGGTTCCCCTGCAGTGATTGGTGCTGCACCGAGCTAGTTTGGTGTGAAAGTGTAACTATTGTTATTATTCTTATATTTACATCAAGTATTATAAAATAATTGAGAGGCTTTGAATCGTTTTTATCAAAATCAAAATATTTGCCGGGTTGGAAGGTGGGATCAAAAAATCATCATCATCATCATCATCATTTTTCGATGTAAGGGTGTTTAATCCTGACGCTTCTTCCTACGCGTCCCGAAGCCTGGATGCGCTCTTCCGGCAACATGAGGGCGCTACGAGACTGCAATATCAGGAGAGAGTAGTCAATGTTGAGCGTGGTGCCTTTGCACCTCTGGTGTTTTCCGTGAATGGGGCTGCTGCGCCGGCATCCACGGCCTTCCTCAGGCGCCTTTGCCTCCTTACATCTCAATATTCGGGAGGTAGCTATTCGTCGTTGATGGGTTATTCTCGTTGTCGGGTGTCTTTCGCGCTGCTACGTTCCGCTGTGTTGTGTGTCAGGGGTGCTCGATCGGCCCGTCACCGTCCAGTTCACATGCTTCGTTGAGTTGGCGATGGTGGAGGGTCGGGTTCCCCTGCAGTGATTGGTGCTGCACCGAGCTAGTTTGGTGTGAAAGTGTAACTATTGTTATTATTCTTATATATACATCAAGTATTACAAAATAATTGAGAGGCTTTGAATCGTTTTTATCAAAATCAAAATATTTGCCGGGTTGGAAGGTGGGATCAAAAAAACAAAAAATCATCATCATCATCATTGCTGAGCATGGTTTTTAATCATCCAAGGGAGACTTTCGCGATGCCATTGCGTTACGCTATGACTGGCCGCTGCGTGACACCCCTGCTGTATGTGCTTGTGGGGCGGGTTTTTCCAAGAGCCATGCTTTGAATTGTGTTTTTGGTGGATTCTCAACTATTCGACACAATGAACTACGAGATCTGTTCGCTGTTGCCTTGACCGAGGTTTGCTCCAGTGTGTCTGTGGAGCCACCTCTCGCCCCTGTCGAGGGTGAGGTTTTTCAGGCCAGGTCGGCGAACACCTCTGTCGAGGCTCGCCTTGATGTGAGCGCTCGAGGCTTCTGGACGCGTGGGCAAGATGCATTTTTTGATGTAAGGGTGATTAATCCTGACGCTTCTTCCTATGCGTCCAGAAGCCTGGACGCGCTCTTCCGGCAACATGAGGGCGCTAAGAGACGTCAATATCAGGAGAGAGTAGTCAATGTTGAGCGTGGTGCCTTTGCACCTCTGGTGTTTTCCGTGAATGGGGCTGCTGCGCCGGCATCCACGGCCTTCCTCAGGCGCCTTTGCCTCCTTACATCTCAATCTTCGGGAGGTAGCTATTCGTCGTTGATGGGTTATTATCGTTGTCGGGTGTCTTTCGCGCTGCTACGTTCCGCTGTGTTGTGTGTCAGGGGTGCTCGGTCGGCCTGTCACCGTCCAGTTCACATGCTTCGTGAGTTGGCGATGGTGGAGGGTCGGGTTCCCCTGCCGTGATTGGTGCTGCACAGAGCTTGTTTTGTGTGAAAGTGTAACTATTATTATTATTCTTATATCTATACATCAAGTATTACAAAATAATTCAGAGGCTTTGAATCGTTTTTTATCAAAATCAAAATATTTGCCGGGTTGGAAGGTGGGAATCATCATAACCATCATCATAGAACAGCCTCTTGTACGGGCAAGCAAAAACGCAATACCGGTACATCAAAATTCAATTAGAATGAAAGGAGAGGAAAATGAACACAAAGTGCATCATCATCATCATCATCGAGCTTATTTTGTGTGAAAGTATATATTAATTTTATACAAAGAGAAAGACCAAGGAACTAAAAGTTACGCTATACTGTCCACTAACACCACCAGTTACTAAACAATCAGCTCATGCGATAACATTGCACGACACTGACCGACGGTACTGACGTTCTACAACTAACTGGCTAACAGCTCTTGCACATCTTGGAAGGGCACTCCAACAGCCTTCCAACTTGGAAGGTTCTAAGTTATAGAAATAACATAAGGAGGGGAAGGTGAGCGCAACCAAGATAAGTACGACCTGAAAGGCTCAGCTGTGAAGGACGTTGGCGGATGTTCATGCATGTCGATGACGACACTGGCAAGACCATTGGACAATACGGTCAAACCACGATTCAGGGACGCAAAGCCACATTCCACACAAATTGTGTGGCTCAAAAGATGCGAAGATCAATAAAAGGGGAAGCTATGCGAACAAGAATCATCAAAAACCGAACGCCTCTGTAAAACAGCACTGTACTTCGACTACGACAATTTAGATGGACAATAAGCAGCGGTAACAAGCAGCAGTTTCACACGAAGATCGTTTCGCCGTATAGATAAAGACGGCTCAGCAGGTGTGCAGGAATGGACTCAGATGGAGAGCCAAGGTTTAATTTATACAAAGAGAAAGACCAAGGAACTACAAGTTACGCTATACTGTCCACTAACACCACCAGTTACTAAACAATCAGCTAATGCGATAACATTGCACGCCACTGACCGACGGTACTCACGTTCTACAACTAACTGGCTAACAGCTCTAGCACATCTGGGATGCGCACTCCAACAGCCTTCCAACTAGGTTCTAAGTTATAGAAATAACATCAGGAGGGGAAGGTGAGCGCAACCAAGATAAGCACGAGCTGAAAGTCTCAGCTGTGAAGGACGTTGGCGGATTTCTAGGTGTAATGTACTGCTGTTATTTGTTATCACTTTGTCCTTCCTTCCTTCTTTCTCTTCTTTGTTCATTTTTCAGTTGCAAATTTAGTGTTAGTACACGCATTCGTTATTGCTCTCGCTTTCATTGTTAAAAGTCACACTTGTAAATTTCACTGCTGTTGTTCTTAGTGTTATTTCTCTAACTTAGGTTTTCTATAATAGTTCAATTTTTGTTTCAGTGTCCTTTAGTACAACGAACATTCCTGATGAGTGTTGTACGGAAACTTGTTCGAATCCTTATTTTCTCTACACCATTTCTTCACATTTTCATCGTTTTATTGCACATTGTCTCGACAGTTTTCCATTACATGAATAAAGTGTACACAAATGTCGATCCAGCTTGTATTACTGATTGCGCTTATATGTATACTTCAAGTATTACAAAATCACTGAGTGGCTTTGAATGGTTTTTATCAAAATCATCATCATCATAAAAAATCATCGTGTATAATCATCATGTATAAAAAGACACTTGTACGGGCAAGTCAACATGCATATCATCAAACTTAAGTGATTGCGGAAATCAACTCAAAAAAAATAATTGGACACAAAAGCAATATATTATATAACATTGATATTATTGTTTCACTGGCTTCAAAGCTTTAATCACCGCCGACCATGTTGCTCCATCGGGTGATCATGGCCGCGTTCCGGATGGCACTTAGCACAAGGTCAAAATCCTAGCATAAGGAGGCACAAACACGTACAAGACAAGAAACACGTACAAAACAGCAATCAGATACAGAATAGAGGCAGATCTGAACGCTACTGGCGAGTAAAGAACCTGCATTCTGCAAGTGTTGCATGTTGTACAGACAAAGCTACAGTCATGTGAATTAAAAATTCTATCGTTTGCCTCCATTTATAGTCTACTCTAAAAGAACTAAGAGAACTTGAGACAAGAAATACGAACAAAAATCTGGAAACACGCAGTGGCCAATAGGAATATGCAAACTCACCTTACACTCTGGGCAATGGAAACGACTTCCAATAATTTCAGCCATGCATGTATTGCAGCGGTAGCCGATTACATTTTCATTGCACTGGCTTTGCAGCTCGATGAGCATGCACAGTGTAGCGTACTGCGCGTGCCACAAAGTTGTAAACTCGAGATGATTCTTACGAAAGTACGCAAGAATTGAATCCCGACTCTCCATCACATTGCTGCTTTGCTGCTCGGCCACATCCTCCTGCATGGGTTTAAGGTTGGCAACCTTTTCTGAAGAAATCAGCGTGATGGTGAAGAATGCCTGGCCAAAAGGAACAAGAATAAAGCTAATGTAAGGAAATTTTGGCAGCAACGAATACAAGAAATCAGGGTAGGCGATAATACCAGCAACACCCAAGGAGCTAGTAAGGCCGTCATCACACTTCGTTCTCTGGCTTCCCCTTACGTCTGCGTCCACAGTGAAAAATCCAAAACGGGTAGTCGTGTCATCAAACAGGCACAGTTCTTGACCAGTACACGCGGTCACGTTTTGAAAAAAATTGAAGATTCGCACGTACAAGTTCGCTTGGAAACAGACTGTGGGAGATACACCCTTGTACCGTAGTGTGATGACAGCGTAACAGCTGGGGCATAAACTAAGATACTAGTAGAAGGTTCAACAAGAAATGGTTTCACTGAAAGAGTAACACCCAAAGGCAATAATTTTACAAACTAGAACCATTATGAACTTAGAAGTTGCGACTTCGTCGGTACTAGTGATGAAGTTGGTTGCTCCAACGAGGAGCACAAACTTCTTTCCGAACTGACACACTGTGTATTCAGCAGGCAGTGGTGCTTTCTTTCAGGTTTGCCGAGCGGAAGGTGCTACAATCGTGAGTCAGTCAAGTGTCAAGTTCGGCAAGAAGCGTGTGCTCCTCGTTGGAGCAACCAACTTTAGTACCATTATGACACACCAATATACTCTACAAAAATAAGTCACTTTCAAACATCGAATGTTACGTGCGGAAACTCATTTTAATATTCAGATACAAGGGCATACGTTTTCGATAGCCACCTCGCATAATCAAAGGACGACAGAGAGCGTGTCGTAATTTGCAATCACCTGTGTCCCACAGATGAAGCTGTATGTGCTGATAGGCTTACAGTGTGTACGTTGCAAACTTGCCTCACCCAATGCCAGGCTTGCACTGTAAGTAGAGAGAGTATTGCGACAACCTAAACTGTAGGACTGAAACGAATAAAATTTCTCAGCAATCGAACGTTCTTGACTGGCTAACGAACGGACGAACGAACAAATGTTCTTGATTGATAATTCATGCAAATCGTCAGAGTTCTGACGAGGGCATGCCCTCCACATGATACAGGCAAAAAAGTATACTTCAGGGAGGAAACCAACGCCATTGACATAAAAACCTTCAGCAACCTTGCTTCGTTCTCCGTTGAGAGCAACATCGCCCCAGAACTAGAAACGCTGCCAGATGGCTCCGTAAGGTTGCACGCATGCCGCGCTGTGCTGCCCCTCACTCGGGTACGTAGAAAGTCGATGGTCCAAATATTTGTCTCTGGGAGACTATTGACACAGGGATTGCTCTCCGCATCTTCTCCACCATAACTGGTATAAACACTGTGTGTGGCCATCGAACTGCGTTTATACTCACACACTCCCGGTACCAACAGGAGTAGCATATCGGGATTGTTGTTCTCGCATTTTGCTGATTGTAGTAAAACATTTGTGTCGAGCATATTGGGAAAAAAATTTCAGTTCTAATATTCGTTACCTCACAAATGTTCATTCTGCAAAGCTAAATTAACGAATATTTGAATAGTTGAGATACTCATAAATTTTCAGCCCTATCCTAAAGCATGTCTCATGCATGGCTTTCCCTTCCCAATGGTGCATGATTCTCCCACAATTGCGTATTTCGACCAAATTATTGATTACAAAATTTCCCATGCGGGCCATTGTGGGTAAAATGGCTAAATAAGGCTTTTGAGAAGAATATCATAACTTGTCATCTTGATTTTGATTGTGAAGGGCTGCACTAAAACTGATTTCTTGCTCATGATATTCAACTTCGAAGAAACAATCAAGTTAGAAACAAATCTAAAACATGCATTTGCAATCAAACCAGTCGTCGCACTC